TTTTCTTTTTAATTGTTAATTATGTAGTAAAATTTAAGATTTTCATAAATTAAAAAGCTCAAGAAACAATTCTTAGTTGTGATCCATAATTACAGTTGAGCAACTCCTAATTGTCATCTAAGCTTTCTGGCAAGAATTAGAATCCCAAAAACAGCTGTTCACTTTGGGGAGAGACAGTTTGAAAGGAACTGTGGGTTGCCTAGTTTAAAAGGTTGGAAGTCAGTGACCAAAGATTGCAATCACCTAGTAGGATTTACACCTACTTAAAGGTATAGCCCTTCATGACAGTACAGGAGCCTGCTTTCCCTGCACTTTCCAGTACAAAATCAAAGCTATTGTTTGTGTCTAAAGATACACACAAAAGAATCCCTCCATGTAGTCCTGCCTGTCTTGTAACTCTCTATGTAGATCCAGCTGTCCCTGAACTCAGAGATCCATCTGCCTCTTACTCTCAGTGCTGGGATTAAAGGGGTGAGCCATTAGGCAGGGCAGACACACATTTAAACAGATGTCATCAATATTTAGGGATAAAACGTGTCCAGGGAGTCAGGCCTCGAGGGGAAATGAAGTCAGGGTGGGAAAGGTGCGCACTCCTCTTGAACAGAGCTCCCCTAGTGCAGAGACCACAGCACTGCTCCCGTCTGCATGGACTTCCTTGTCTTTATATCCATGTTCATTTACTAGGGCTCAAAACTCTTGTGGGAAAAATTAATTTCTGATCAATGTTTCATTTTCTTATGGAATAATAATAACAACTATGCATTTTACAACGGTCCTGATCTCAGATACTTTCGTGGCTTTTATAAGTGGGAGGCCTCCAGTCTCTGGTCTTGTGAACCAACTGCAGCCCTTTCTTAGCAGAAGACACACACACACACACACACACACACACACACACACACACACACACAAACATAGAAATTTAATGGAAGCTACTGAACAGTAGGAAGACAGAAGTGTGAGCTTCCTTACCGAAGCATACTGTCTTTTTTTCCATCAGGATTTTATCATTGTCTGCTGTTCTCCTATTAATGGTTTGTCTCCTCCGACTCAACTAATCCATCTTCCTCATCCCAACATGCCCTAACAATCCTTGGCAAGCATCCACAGTGTCAGGGTCTAGTGTAGCAGGTGTCATGACACAGGCACCAGTGAGTGCAGAGGAGCCTGCATGGATGCTCAACTCGGGCATGAGCACACCTTTAGTTGTCTCTATGGTGGTTTCATTTTCTCATCCAAAAAGTATTTACTGAGAGTCTCCTGGCAAGGTACAGCAATGGACAAACTGGCATAGATTCTATGCTTGTTGAGCTTGTAATGTAAAAGAAAGACAAACCTTTAGGGGGGAAAAAAAAGCCATGCAATTCACTAGCTAATTATATCTGTGGCAAGTGTGATCAAGGAAAAATGCAAGGTAATACAAGCACTTATAAGAAAGGTTTCTTCCCCATGACTGCTGTCTAACTCTGTGAGTATACTAAAGGTCCACCCAACTAAGCACTGTAAAGCAGTGAGTTTATGATGTGGGCAATCGAACTCAATAAAGCTGTCATAAAAAGAATATCACAGTGGTGACGAGCATGGCTTTGTGGCCCTGCATTTCTGGGTTCAGAATCCTGATTCAGACATTCATAAGCTGGGTGCTCTTGAAAAACTTATCTAGCATCCTGTATGTTGGTCTTTTTCCAAATGAGTTGAAGATAATGGCAATGCCTCCTTCTCAGACTGTCCTGAACATTAAACATGTTGGAATTTCCAAAGTAATGATAATCTGGTACCCAAGGGAGATGACCTATGATTACTTTGGGATAGTAGCTATATATTGCATATGTTGATCTATTTAGCCCTGAGGTGATACTATTAGGAGGCAAGGCCTTTGTTCAGTGAATAGATTATAAGGGTGGATCCCCTAGGAATAGGAAATAGGCCCTTATTACAGACCCAGTCTGCCAGATTTTTGTTTGGTTTTTCGAGACAGGGTTTCTCTGTGTAGCTTTGGAGCCTATCTTGACACTCGCTCTGGAGACCAGGCTGGCCTCTAACTCACAGAGATCCACCTGCCTCTGCCTCCCGAGTGCTGGGATTAAAGGCATGCGCCACCAACACCCAGCTAGTCTACCAGGTTCTTGACTGAGCCTTGTAGCATCAGTAACTGTAAGAGGCAGACTTCTTTTATGTCTGCCTGTGATATTCTGTTGGAGAGGGCTGAACTAACACAAAAGGGGAATCAGAACCAAACTGAAAAAACGCTCTGTGTAGGCAAAGTCAGAGACCTCATGAACTCTTTAAAAATCTATACTCACCAAACTGAAAAATCTTAAAAAAAAAAAAAAGTGAATTTCTAGATACATACAAACTACCTAAATCCAGTCAAGAAAAGTAGATAATTTAAACCCAGTTAGATAGAAACAGTAATTAAAAATCTCCCAACTAAAAAAAGCCCAGGACCAGTTGCAGAGAAGGAGAACTGATAGCAAAGGGGTCCATACCAGGCTGGTGAAACCCACAGAAACAGCTGACCTGAACAAGGGAGAGCTCTTGGTCCCCAGACTGATAGCTGGGAAACCAGCATGGAACTGATCCAAACCCCCTGAATGTGGATGTTAGTGAGGAGACCTTGGAAATCTATGGGGCTTCTTGTAGTGGATCAGTACTTATCCTTAGCATAGGAATGGACTTTGGGAGCCCATTCTACATGGAGGGATACTCCCTGAGCCTAGACACAAGGGGGTGGGCCTAGGCCCTATCCCAAAGGATATGACAGACTTGGAAGACCCCCTATGGAAGGCCTAACCCTCCCTGGGGGTGATGGGGGGGGGGGGGCAGGGGAGGAGTGGATGGAGAGGGACCTAGGATTGACATGTAAAATAATTTTCTTTCTAATTAAAATAAAAAAAAATTAAAAAAAATAAAAAATTCCGGGGCCAGATAAATTCAGTGCAGAATTCTACCAGATCTTCATAGAACTTACAACAAACTCTTCAAACTATTTTGCAAAACAAAAAAGGAAGGAGCATCTCCAGATTTCTTCTACCAAGCCAGTATTACCCTGATACCAAAGCCAAACAAAGAGGACAAAAATAAATAAATAAATAAATAAATAAGAAAGAAAGAGAAGAAAATTTTAGGCCAAAATCTCTGATGAACATGATGAACACAAATGTAAAACTCCTCAATAAAATATTTATAAACCAAATTCAACAAGGGTATCCACCATGAACAAGATGGCTTCACCTAAGCGATGGTTCAATACACATAAATCAATAAACATAGTCCACCACATAAATAGATTAAAGGACAGAAAGGATCATCTCATTGGATGCAGAAAAGGCCTTAGAGAAAACCCATCACCCCTTCCTGGTAAAAGTCCTGGAGATATGGGCAACACATCTCAACATAATAAAGGCAGTTCACAGCAAGCCCACAGCCAACACCATGCTAAATGAGAGAAACTCCAAGCATTTCCTACTCAACAGAAGACAGCAGGGATGGAGGAATACAAACAGGAAAGGAAGAAGTCAGAGCATCTTTATCTGCAGATCTCATGGTTCCATAAGACCCTGGAGACTGCCTGCACCAGCAAGTTCCTATAGCTGATAAACAGGCTCAGCAGAATAGTAGCAGGCAATGTTCTTCCTCAACTCTGTTTGGAAAAAAAAAAAAAAAAAAAAAAAAAAAAAAAAAAAAAAACAGTG